TCCATGCATTTCCTTTGTTTCCAAGAATAACACCACTCATAATCTAAAGAAAAATGTTAAAACCTAAACTGTTGAAGTTTCGATCAGCTCATAGTGGATATAACACTCTTTCCAAAAAAAAAAAACAATAATGGAAAACCATGGACATCCTTATCAGGAAATGCAATTTTATCAAAAGTACTCTGTATTTTCAATTATCAGTCAATTGAGTGTTGATTAAGAAAACACCGACATTTCTTGAATCTTCTAATTAACAACAAGCCAGATGGAAAAATGCACGCGGTGTTTATCAACGTCACATTGCTTAATCTGTTCTTTGAACAAATCTCTATGGAACGTTTGACATGAATCGCTTGTAGCTGTAGCTGTCGTTATTACTATTTTATTGATACGTGCCTTTTTCATATGTATAAATCTAAAATAATTGTTTGCGTTTGTACTTTTGTTACGGCTTTGTTCTACTGAGTGGAAAACTGATGAAAATACGACTTTTATAATCAAGGTGAATATACAGATACTCCATTGCAGTAGATTGTCAGTATACTATATGTTTAATAATGTCTTATGTACATTTATTAAGCCACCATAAATCGTATCAGCATAATTATTCAGTAATATGAAAAAAAAATCGCAAAAGGTTGTCAAACGTAAAGGTTTAATAAGATAGCCATAAGAGTCCTTGCATCAAGAATTCGCCATGTTCTACCTGTCACTCAACAAAAATAAGACAGAGGCTATGTGGATTGGAAGAAATAGGACAAGACTGGACCACCCTATTGATGTTATTTGGAAGTCAGAAATCACCAGCTTGGGTATTGTGTTCTCTAGCTTCACTCCAGCTCAAGACATTGAGCAGAATTGGACAGGGAGACTAGCCAAAATGAGGAACACTTTGAAAATGTAGGCCATGAGAAAACTTACTATGAAAGGTAAAATCATCATAGTGAAATCATTGCTTTTCTCGCAGATTCTCTACCCAGCTTGATCACTCATTGTTCCTGAGTCTATTCAAAAGCAGGTTAATTCATGTATTTTCAAATTTGTTTGGGATGGAAGCGAGAGGGTTAAGAGAAACACCATAGTAGGTGCATATGACCAAGGTGGTTTGAATATGATTGATGTGAAAAGTGTAATTAACACCTTGCATTTGAAATGGTTAAAAAGACTAGCCAATGATGATATCCTTCCGTGGGAGAATTGTGCTTTGTTTGAATTTGATAAACTTGGTCCAGATCTCTCTGTATTTCACAGTAACTGTAGTGCCAAAGATTTGCTCTGCTGTTCTGATCTGAATAACCTTGCGCCCTTCTATAAGAACATCATTTTGTCATGGCTGGAAGTCAACCCACGGGCAGAGGCTGCAGACATTACTGAAGTTGCGAAGCAAAGAATTTGGAATAACCATGCAGTCAAATTCAAGGGTAAACCGATTTTTCTGAAAAACTGGATCTCAGCTGGTGTCATTTACGTTTATCATCTTTATGACAATCACGGTAATTTCATGACCGCTGATTAGATTATGCAAATCATTGGCAACAAGGGTAACTACTTACTGGAACATTATATTGTCATTAATTCCCTTCCCGTGGAATGGAAACAACTTCCAAAGAAACGATTGGTAACATTAATATTGATGTTCGAAATGAGCTAATTAAGATGAATATGAAGCGCATCAGGAAGAAATTTACTGGCACAAAATTCACTACCCCCATAGCAGACACATTTTGGAAAAACACATTCCCCACTCATAACTTTGTTTGGGATGTAATATGAGAGGCTCAACTATTGCTGTCCAGACAGTACGTCATTTTCAATCAACTGGAAAATCATTCACAACTGTTACCCCACGCAAGTCTGGCTTTGCAAAAGGAAGAAGAGTGATTCAGAAAATTGCACATTTTGTCATGATAGTTATGATTACATTGAACCCTTTTTTAGGTCGTGTAAAAAGGTAAACCCCTTTGGAACAAAATCGAAAAGATTGCTGCATCTAAGTATGGCAAATCGATCAGTCTGTCCGTGGAAAATATTCTTTTCGGGGTCGGGGAAACATACAATAGTTATCGGTTTTTTGAATACTTTAATTAATATAGGTAAACAAACAGTGAGTCGTTTTTAATTTGGCCAGTATTCCAACCTTATCATCCTTTTTGAGCAGAAACTCCAGCTTCGTCATGGCGAGTAAACTGTTTTGTAAAAAAATTTTTGTTGTGTGTAATTCAGTAGTAACTATAGAGCAGACGATTAACTGTACACGTACATAGATTATTGTTATTTAATCGTTGATTGTATCTTTGAATAAAACAGAAAAAAAAAAAGTTTAATAAAGAATATGTTATATCAGCTGTAATAAAACCTGTTTAAAGCTTTGGGTTCTAGATGCGTTAAACCTGGGACGAACTCGGAGGTCAGGAAAAACCCAAGGGGACTGATATTATTTTATCCCAATCTCCAACCAACACCTTTTACCCCAAACAAATATTTATCAGCTTCACGTAACGATGAGCAGTTACCCAGACGCAAGGAGGACAATTAACGAACGGCGGACTTCGGCCTAGTGGTAGTTCGTTTAGTGGAAATTTACCACCGTTCTGTGATTGCGTGACTACTTAAATGTAAACAGAGCACTATTAGCTTAAGTGCATGTACAGTATTGTTGTTTTTGCCTCATATTCAGCCTTATTCTGGTTAAAACATACTGTAAAATTGGCACTCATACAGATGTTGAATAGCGCCATCTTGCGTTAGAATAATCTGCTCATATGTTGACTAGCACTAGTCGGAGGTTACTATTGAACAAGAGTTATGTAATGTGTTATGCAACATTAAGAAAGATCTGGTGGAACCAGTCGAATATTCATGTAACGCGATTTATTGGGAATAGTAATTCAGTTCAGTTCTTCAAAGTTCCCGTGAATTAGCTAAAATGCGTATTTGGAAAATGACATGTTTCTTGTATGCAACCAAGAGAACTCATTACAGTTTTTAATGATGTTAACATTCTTATAATCCTTTTTTGGTTGATATTGAAACAAGTGTTTAATTGTAGTGCACCCTCACGGCCTGTAGTGGAACCAGCTAGGGACGCAAGTTGTCCACATGTTCACATGTTTTGAATTACTATTTAATAGGTGTTTTTTTCTTCCATTATGGTGATCCCCAAACGGTTGTGTCCTACAAATCAACCAACTCAGAACTAATAGTGGAAGGAAATTATTGACTCCTGACTCTTTTACATCCAGCTTCATTGCTTCCTGTAGAAGTGTTTTCCCCATCATCATCATCATCTTCCAGCCATATTTCTGCTACTGCACCCCTCCCCCCACTTTTCTGACCCCCCCCCCCACACACACACACCCACACACACACCCAAACACCCACATGCTGGAATTTACTACCTTAAGGAGACATGCACACAATAGGGAACAAAAGATTGTATTCGTCTCCACAAGAACATTTTCTAGTCTCCACAAGAATTTCACGAAATAGATATAGGGATTTTACTCAAAAACTAGGAATTTCCAAGGTAGGTTGATCCGTCGCAAATGGAAGAGTTTTAGAAAAGGGATATTTAGTCCAAATTTCAGCCCAGGAAATTAATTCTGGTTAAAATAAGAGCATTTTGAAACTTCAATTTCAAACTCGAGAACTTTACTACACGAGAACAAAGAAATGTCTCCACAAGAATACAAATTCCAGAATGTGTGCACAAGTATGTATTTGTCTGCAATCATTGACGGCCTAATGTCTCTTTTTCTTTTGGATTGCTGGAAGCGATCCGGATCTGGGTCTGGATACAGGATATGTGTTTTAAAAGGCTTCTTTACCATTTATGCGAGTATTTCTCACCCGCACTGACAAGCATGTAAATAGATGAATTTTGTTTACTTAGTGATATAGTTTAATTTCAAACAGCACAGCTGCAACGTTATACCATACAATCCATTGGGGCGCTGTTTAAATCCGACCATTATGAACACATATTACAGAATGCTGTACACATATTCCCCTTTACCATATTTCTGTTCACAGATTCAAAAACGTAAACGTAAAACAAGTTGGGTTTTCTGTTCTCGTTTTTCAGACGCATAAACGGTAACTGGAATACGATTTACTTTTTCTGTTTCTTTACAAAGATTGTAATAGAGTAAGCGGTTAAAGGTTCGGTTTTTTTTTCTTTTGACGATTTTCAAACGGTAAGTGATTAGACGGTATGTACACGGATCTTTTTTTTAAATAAGATTTTTTTCTACCTTTAAATTGAAGAAAACGTGTGAAAGTATCTCTCATCCATGATTTCGTAGATGTATTATAAAACAAGAAAAAGGAAAAATAATACTAATAAAAATGTGTTTAATTAATAATCTGAAATAGATGATAAGTAAACAATGTATTTACATCCATTATTTACAGCGGAATGATTGTATCCAGCTCGATTTATAGCTCAAACATTACTTATTAACCAAATACATTTACTCGTTTTTGCACGTAACACAAGAAGATCATTGTCATGAAACATTGAAACTATAATGCTCTTATCCACGGTTAAAGGAAAAAATATACACGCAAAATATACAAGCCAAATTTATTCAGATTAACTCGGAGATCTGTCAGCAGAATGTTAGCTAAAACTACACAGACACCATTATCGGAATAACAACAGACATTGCCAACTATTTATCACATATATTTTAATGTTTTAATTTAAGTAAATCGAATATCCATTTGTAGAATTCGTGCCAATTTCAATGAGTGTCTCGAGCATTGACGGGGAACCATGCATTCAATACAGTCGCCTTAATAGTTAATCGTCCTTTTTTCTATTTCTCAATCACAAGCAAACTTATTAAACGTATTACAAAGTGGGTTTCTAATTAGTTCTTCCAAATAATCCGTTCTAGTGTACATGAGTTTTCATACATATCGTATATCTTTTTTTCTTTTTCTTTTTTTTTATTTCAGGCAACGCATTTAACGGACGTTGTCCTTGGTGGAGCAGATTACATCCGGTCGAAGACTTTGACGGAGTGCATGTCTGCGACAACGACGTTACCGGCGGGGGTGAATGCCATTTCAAACGGATTGAACAACCCTTGAGCTACTGTTGCTATGAATTTACCATTTAAACCATAATGTTGCACAGCACCATTCCCAGTTCTCTTGAAATTAACAGCGATATAGATGCTCCCATCAACATCATCGCACATGACACTATTGGGACTCACAGGTTTCCCGTTTCGTAATGTCATTACGTTGAACACCTCATTGCCCTTCAAATCAACGCACATTAACCTCTTCTCCTTGTCGTTTGTGAAGATCAGCCGCTCTTTGTTGCACATTGCCAAGTCATTTTTAACCATGTTGTTTGATGTGCTTGTAATCAACGATCCGTCCAGGTTGTGGACACTGATGACCTTTCTTCCCCGGTCAGCCACTGCTACACGTTGCTTGTCCACAGCAATACCACGTAGGTCACTCTCTGATCGTCCCTCTGTATCATCAACTGTAGGTGTAAACTCGCGAACATACTGTAGCTCTTTGTCAAAAACCTTCACTTTATCTTTATCCGTGACGAAAAGCAGATCATCACAGTTCACTGCCACGCTAAAAGGATCATCCAATTCATGACATTCGGCTCCTTGAGCAATCGATGTTTTGAAATGCCCAGTGGATGTAAACAACGATAACCGTTTCAAGTCTGTGTCACATACTACGATGTCACCGTTGCTGAAACATTTAACGGCCCCTGCACACTGGAATTTCCCGTCACCGTTGCCCTTCTTGCCGAACTCTTCCTTCAACTGCCATTTCTCTTTGAGCAATAGTTTCCCAAGATCCGTGTCACTGACGACATCTTGACATGTGACCCCGATGAACGCCATATCCACTTTTGCCGGTTCACACTTCAGCTCCTTCTGGAATTCCAAGTTATGCATCACCTTCGGCTTGAGCTCTAAAAGCTCAAAATCATCGGCTTGTCTCATCAAGTCATTTACGGCCGTGACGATCTGATCTGCGCGTTCCATCTGGCTACGGTTGTGCATGAGCACCTTTTCATACTCACTGTCTCTCTCCAGACCGATTTGGTCGACCTTTTCGTTGAGAAGCTTTGCTTTCTTTCTGATTTTGGCGATCTCTGCTTCCGCCTTTGCAGAAATATCACTACGAGCCTGAGCAAGATTCTTTTGTAATCTTTTTCGTGCATGTGTGATCGAGTCTCCGTTTGATGCCAATTGTTCTTTGCTTTTATCGAACTTTTGCAAAATGTCGTCGACACTCTTACGGAATGATCCGATGGCGTCATAGATTGCAGTGTACTTGTGATCGGCTGTCCGGTGTTCTGTTGCAGCACACATTGAGCAAATCAATATATCACAGCTTTCACAGTAAAAGCATAATGACTGATCAATGTGCTTTCTACATTTTGATTCGACAGACTTGCTAATATCTGCAGGTAAAACCCTCGATTTGTCCAATTCCTCTGCAGGAATGATGCGATGGTCTTTGGTATATTTCAGAAACTGGTGTGCCTCTTGGCATTTCTTGCAGATGTTCGTCTTGCAGTCAAGACATCTTGATACAGTCTCATGTCCTTCATCACACGATTTACACGTCGCACAAGTAGTTAATGCCTTCCCTAAAAGCTGTTCTTGTTTGTGTATTTCATCAACAAGAGAAATCAAAAAGAAGCTGGATGAAAGACTCTGCAATCCTCCATCAGGAACTTCCGTTTCTCTCCTGCAGACTGGACATGTTATTTTCTTTGACTCAGACTTTTGTTTGCCTATCATATTTTCTAGACAGTTCAGGCAAAAGCTATGCAGACAGTCCAGTATCTTTGGATCCTTGAATCGACAGCAACAGATCGGACATTCCAGATGCCCCTGGCTGATCTTGTCCAGCACGGTTTGAGCAGCAGCCTCCGCCATCTTAAAAGGTATATCCTTACCTAAGCAGATTAAAAAAAATCCGCTTCAATTATTTAGTTCAAAAACAGTCAAATCTAGTGTACGCGGCAGGAAGGGGTGCGAAGTGGGGATGGAGGTTGCTCTAGTCACAGACTCCATAACCACCGAGGTATCGCTCCCCCGTCATATTGACTGAAAAGCAAATCGTTCGCGGGAATCTCCTGTTTTTTTTAAAAGCTATTTCACATATGAAGACAAAAGAAATTAACAAAATCATGTTAAAGTGGGACAATTTACTCACCTGCTGTTTTAAAAACCGATTCGTCTGTTAGCCCAAGTCTTCAAATACAGACGTAGCATGAGAATTCCACCTGCTTTAGGCAAAATAACGTTCATGGCAAAACTACCAATAAAAATTGTAGCCTTTGCATGTACTTGGTATGCCTACATCATTAAGCGATGAATGGTGCAATGATAACTCAACATAGGATAAACCAGTTTGTATTAGTGTTGCACAATAATGTTTGCACGTATTTTCCCTGTAGCTACACAACAAACGCCCTGATTAAAGTCCACCAATAGACCCGTGTATGGCGCAACAGTACAGTATTAAATACGCAGCTCCAGTTTCTAATAACTGTGAAAAAAAAAAACAGTTGCTATTTTAGTCACTCCGTACTCGTACACTTGTACATATGTATACGTCTACACTACCATCGTACAATGAACCCACCTGATTGTAGTTCAAAGTTTAAACCAGCAGCCGCTTTATGCCTGAAAGTACGGAAGCCCAAAACGGATATTAGAGTCTGTACATGCACATGGAAACAATGTTGTTCTATAACATCCTCGCAGGCATGAGCTTGTAATCGAGACGTATTTATTTGGGATAAGAGTGTTTTTATCAGGTAATAGAGACGTAGTAACGTGCATATCATGAATTAGGCCTATATTTCATTGAGGTCATTTTTTGTTGTTGTTTTAACATTTATTAAATAGTATATACTCGAATGCGTCGAGGACTGGTAAACTTATATTTTGCCACCTCGGTCAACTCACGTTTAAATCGGTCCGTCTGATATCAAATGAATATCCGCATATAAAACCTAAAAAAGGTTATTTGGCACTCAGTGCGCAGAATAGACCATCTCTACACAGTGCGAAATTATTTTTGTGGACGGGGGGATGGCTATTGAATACCCCCGCACACGTTTTTTCGAGGTATTTTTCGAACATCCCAACAACCAAAATGTATTCAATAGCACTGACAAGTGGAGAAATAAAGTACAAAAGCTTTTAAAATGCGCCGTTTTGATGTAATTTCGCTTCCATATTGATTTACATCTATATCCTGAAGAACGCCCCAAGTGTAATGTAGTGTCCAGCGACAGCCCCCCCCCCCCATCCCCCTTCTTTCCGATCCAGAGAAACTGGTTAAAGTGCACTCAAAGCTTAATTAAGGTCATGACAAAGCCCTATCCTCACTAACGTCCCCAGTCTTTTTGACTTTGCAATGGCCAGCTGATTTTTTTTTGGGTCGGGAAATGCTTTAACCCCCCCCCCCCAGCCAACTTTCCAAAGTCTTCCGCCGTCGCTGACAGTCCCTGACTTTGTTCCGATTAAAAGTTCGTTGGGACTGATGTTGGTCGGTGGGTGGTGTCCCGGGGAGGGTCTATTATGAAGATATATTTATGTTCATTCAAATAGATTCAAAGTAACATATGGAGCGTCGCGACAGTGTTGCTAAGTTCTCAAAGATCACAAGTCAATCACAAGTCATCGGAAGTTTATCACAAGTCAATCACAAGTCATCGGAAGTCAATCAGCTGTCACCCACTGTCAAATCAATTTACAAGAAATTCAGACATCTAATTGTACATTATCCGACTTGTGACATGGCGTGGGTTTTGACATGAGACTGATGTTTTCTGAAGGATTTGGCTGATACCCAAAAAAGAAATTGGAAAGATATAATTCATCCAACTCCCATCTTCGTGCATAAAGCTTAGATGGCCTCTAATATAAACTGTTAATCCAATAAACCGACCCTCTTTTTTCTAAATATGGATAAATGTTGATGTATTAAATGGCGCTTTGACGATAAAACAACATATTTTATACTCATTTTGGTCTTTTCAAACCTGATCTGGTCTGTAAGAAAACAAAACGAAACTGATTTAATATAGGAAATAAAAACAAAGTTAATTGTCAAGCATGGGTTAGATTTTAAAAAGAAGTCAATCGCAAGACATAAGAACTCAACAACGTCATAAACTGGCGGCAAGTAAATTCACAGATAAGTCAGCTATCAGATCGATGTTCATTGTCATTGCAACATGCGACATGGCCTGCGATTGTGACATGAGATTAGAAAACAATTGAGTTTTTCCCAAAGTATTTCGGTCCAATTGGAGTGTTCCATTTAAATAGCAGAAAACATGTGAAGAATCTCTCATTCCCAATTTCGAAGAGGTATCACATAACACCAAGAGTGGAATATTTGACCGTTACAATCGGTTTAACTTTAATATAAAACCAAGAGTGGAATATTCGACTGTTACAATCGGTTTAACTTTAATAATCTGAAATTGATGATCAGTATGTTAACATTCATTATTTACATCTGAACGATTGCTATATGCAGTTTGCATAACTCATACTAAGTGTAAAAACACGTCCTTCTTTTGATCCTAAATAAATACGTTGTTTACCAATGGAATTAAACCAACATGTCAGATCATGCGACCAAGGTTTGATAAATGTCATGGAGCGAATTTCATCATCTTTGTGCAAGAGGGTGCGATATAAACGTCATACGCCGGGGAAGGTGAGGGATAAGATGCGTGTTGCGGCCGAAAGCTTCTGAGGGAATGCAGGATCGCCCCTGCTGGCATTGCACAACTCATTGCTCGTTTGGAGCAACACACAATGGAGGAGGTGTGCAATGACATCAGAGGTGATCCTGCATTCCTTCAGAAGCTTTCAGCCGCAGCACGTGCCATCCGCAACCGTTTCCAGAGCTGTATCGATATGGCAAATAAAAAGTCTCCGGTTTCTGGTATGGAGCTTGTCCCAAAAGTCGTGCGGCGACGCGGCTTTTTTTTTTTTGCTACTATTTTGCTTCAAATGTCGGCTGATGACTGCAAATGTTCATCGTCATAATTCTCTGTGGTCCGTCATGGGGGACGTAGAGCCACCCAGCCCGTACGATTTTTTGCAGACTGCCACAGCTGCTGTGCCGGTGAGTCGTGATCCGCTTCTAGCTGGCGCATCCATGTGTTGCGTGGTCGTCCTCTTGGTCTCTTCCAGGCGGGGCCAGGAGGGAGTCCCCCTCGAACATCGACGCACAGCTTGAGAGCAGCATGAGCTGGGGTGTCTTCTGGAAGTCGACGGATATGGCCGAAGAGGGAGTGGCGTCGCCGTGAGATGGTCACACGGATGTCCTCGAGACCGGTGGTTTCCAAGATTGATTCGTTGGAGACGAAGTCTAGCCATCGAACACCGAGTATCCGCCGTTGGCATCTGGTATTAAATGCTTGAAGCCTACGTCCATCTTCTACCACTAGTGTCCAGGTTTCTGACCCGTAGAGTAGGACGGGGAGAACGCATGTTGTGTACACCCTCAACTGTGGGGTTTTGGGGTTGAGGCGCTTGTTCCGCCACACACGATCTAACTGGCCAAAGGTTGAAGAGGCGAGCCTAAGTCGTCGGTGAATGTCGGGTGAAGAGTGACCTTCAGAACAGATGTCGCAGCCGAGGTATCTGAACTGCTCTGTGGTCTCGACGGGCTGGCCCTCAGCAAACACTGGGGCAGATGGTGGTCCGAGGCCAGTGCAATTCTGGATCTTGGTTTTAGCCCATGATGTGTGTAGACCCATTGTCCCAGCTTCTTCCTCGAACTTCTGGAGTGTGGTAGGCCATTCGTTGTGCTCTCTTACGAACCAATATGCCAAGATCAGCCTGACAGCGGTTTAGGACCCAGTCGATAGCACAGCAAAATAGGGCTGGGGCTTGGACACAGCCTTGGCGAACACCGGAGGTGGTGAGGAAGGGACCAGAGATGTCATTGCCAACACGCACAGTGGAAGGGCTGCCATCATGTAAGTCCTGAATCAAACGAAAAAGAAATGGGGGAACTCCGGTTGCTTTCAGGGCTTTCCATATAGGGCTTCCCGATCTACAGAGTCAAAAGCTGCCTTAATGTCGACATACCCAACATGGAGAGGTCTTTCAAACTCGCGGTGGAGTTCTGACAGGAGTCGAAGGGCGAGCACTGCATCCATAGTTGAACGACCCCTTATGAAGCCAGACTGCTGGGGTCGGCGGTGACGGGTGAGTAGGGGTTCTAGGCGAGTCAGGAGTACATGGCAGAAAACCTTTCCATGGACTGAAAGCAGAGTTATAGGTCTGTAGCTGCTGCATTGGTTTTTCTGTTCTTTTCCTTTGTATAGGGAAATGATGACACCATTCCTCCAATCGGAAGGAACCCTTCCTGGGGACCATACTTTAAGAAAGAGTTCGTGCAGGGCTTTGCTTATTGGGGTCTCAGCACACTTGAGCAGTTCAGGAGCAATGCCATCAGGTCCTGCAGCGCGTCCGTTCTTTAGCTTCCTGATAGCACGACGTACCTCAGTCAGTGTGGGAGGGTCAAAGGAGACGTCCGGAGCAGAGACAGCAGCTGATGCCTGTGCATCAAGGTCTGAGCAGGGTGCAGCTGGAGGATGGTTGAGCATGGAGTTGTAATGCTCTCGCCAGCGAGTCACTGTTTCTTCGGTCGTCTTGCAAGGGGTGCCATCTGACTTTGTTATAGGTGGGGAGCTGCTTCCCTGTTGAGGGGGACCACGCATAGACTTGATGGCCTGGAAGGTTGGTCGTAGATCATGCCAACAACTAAGCGATGGTCCGTTTTTGCCGGGGCCTCTGCACCCCTGAAGACACGATAGGTGCAGAAAATCGAGCAGTCTCTAGTCAACATATGGTCGATCTCCTTCCTGGTGTTGCCATTATTGGATAACCAAGACAGTCGATGAATTTCTTTACGTTCAAAGAAGGAGCCAACAATTGACAGGTTGGTAAGGGAGCACATGTTGCCGGACTAAATTTTGTGCAAAATATATTGGAGTCTAGAGAGGCCACATCAGCTTATACTTGATCCTAACCCCATCTAAGAACACGTTAAAATTGTGCAGCAGCAGGATTCCAGTCAAACCAGAGAGTTTGGCGGTTTTGAGACATCATCTTACATTGACAAAAAAAACTTTTTTATTTTGCATACGCGCATGGCTACGGCGACGCGCGAGCGTACCAGAAACCGGAGACTTTTTTGGGGCGAATTCTGAAAGTGAGGTTTTTTGGACACGTAGTGAATCGATTATCAAACGATTTTAATTGTTTTACGAAACAGGAACCCGAAATGTCATCGAAACATTGAAATTAGTCTCCTGCTCTTCATTGGTAAACAAAACAAAAAAAGTACACGCAGCATATACAGAGTTAATTCAAGGATCTCTCCACAGAATGTCATCATCAGCAATGCAAACTGAAAACTGTATATAAACCACTCCCAAATAACAGTGGACTCAGCAAATTACGTATTATTCGTCAGTTTACAATTTAGGTAAATTGTAAATTTATTTGTAAAATATATATTTGGATGTGTCTCTCGAGCACTGAGGAAAAAAAAATCATCTTTTTTTAAAAATTTATTAGAAACAAACATACTCCAATGCAGTTTTGAAATATCAGTTTCGTGGTTGTTTCACACTATAAATGTAGGATTTCGGGCAACGCATTTGAATAGCAGAAAGACATGATTGTCCATAGTGAAGCAGATTACATCCGCTCAAAGATATTGACGGGGTGAAGGTCCGCGAAAACTACGTCACGCTTAGAGGTGAATGCAATTTGGAACGGATTGTACAACCCTTGAGCCACTGTTCCTATAAAAGCACCTTCCGAATCAAAAGCTGCATTTCACAAGTCCCGCTGTTAGTGGAATGTACGTTGAATAGATGTTCCCATCATCAACGCAAAGGGGTAAGGTTATTTATACTTGAACACCCAAGAGCCCTCAAATTCAATGCTCTTCAACATGTTCTCAATTTATTTTGTGAAGATCAGTCCCTCTTTGTTGCTTATTGCTATGAAGTTCCCAAAAATGCCGTTTACTGTTTTTGCTGTCAACGATTCATGCAGGTCATAATTCAACGATGCAATCCACAGATGTCACTCTCTAATAGTCCCTCTGACCTGTCCATCAAAGGTAAAAACTCGCGTACTGAAGCTGTGTGTCAAAAACTTCACTTTCTTTCTTTCCGTGTCAAAAAGCAGATCATCATGTGTCACCGCATCCCCACAAAGAGTTTCCAACTGATTGCATTCACTTCGTTGAGCAACTGATGTTTTTAACTGACCATTGGATGTAAACAACGATAGCCGTTTCTGGGTTGTATCAGTTACAACAATGACCCCATTGCTGGAACATGCAACACCCCTTGCGAATTTGAATTCCCCGTTATATCCGTGACTTCCTTGCCGAACTCTTTCTTCAACTGCAATTTCTCTGTGAGCAATATTTCTCCCAAATCCGTGTCATGACGACATCTTGACATTTGACCCCGATGAACGCTATATCATACTTTGCCGATTCACATTTCAGCTCCTTCTGCAATTCCAGGTTGTTCGTCACCTTCGGCTTAAGCTCCAAAAGCTCGAAACCGTCGGCTTGTCTCATCAAGTCATTTACTGCCGTGACGATCTGATCTGCGCGTTCCATCTGGTCACGGTTGTGCATGAGCGTCTTTTAGTACTCACTGTCTCTCTCTTGACCAATGTCATTTACTTTTTTCAGTGAGAAGCTTTGCTTTGTTTCTGATTTTAGCGATCTCTGCATCCGCCTTTGCAGAAATATCACTACGAGCCTGAGTCAGTATCTAGAGCAATATATCTGATGCATTTAAAAAAAAAAAAATTTCCTTGCTTTTCTTGAACTTTTGCAAGATGTTTTTGACACTCTTACGGAATGATTCCATGACGTCTAACTATTGCAGTGTACTGTGATCTGCTGTGCTCTGCTGCAGCACAACATTAAACACATTTTGGGGTTGAAATTTGAAAATGGCGAACGGAATAGATTTTTCACTCAGATTAATCGACGATTTCTCCGCTGAATGTCATCATTTGATCTGCAAACTGGAAACTATACAGAAGCTACTCCAGATAACAACGGACATAGTCGGTTACGTATTGTTATTTGCAAGTTAAAAAGTGAGGTAAATCGAATTTAAAAAAATGGAACCCAACCCCAAGATATATATTTCATATTATATTAAAAATATGTAGCACCAAAAATAATAAATTGCTAAATCCGTTCAAAGAATATTACCATTTAAAGGCAATGCTCCCCCCCCCCTAAAAAAAATGTGTGTTCTGACTGTTTGGAACAACAACAAAAATGACACAAAATATTTGTTTCAACAACTGTCAACAACTGCAGTTCACAATATTTTTTAACAATCGTGCCTAGGCTAACAATCAACTTCTTTAAAAGACGGCCCTTGAAAAGGACTTTGTTGTAATATACTATTTTTTTTACTTCTAAATTAAGGTTTTATCGCTGGTGGTGTTTCAGACAATTGTGACGACGAGTCTTGAAGTCGCATTTTTGGACGAAAGAGGTTTTAGGGTTAATGCGTTAAAATGGTAATATGCTTTGAACGAATTGAGCAATTTCAGCATTTTTCTTCATCTAAACGTAGTTTATGAAATTGGCTTTCCAGTCATTATTTTTGGTGCTGAATATATTTTTTTTTAGATATGAAATATATTTTGTTGGGTTTGGGTTCCGATTTTTTTACTCATCCTGAATAGAGCAATTACCATTCAATATTATAACACTGAACAGATTTTGCTTTGTGTCAAAAGACATTTGAAGCAAGCTTTTAAATCAATGTTATTCACATCGATTGGTTTGTGTCACAGTCTGTAAGCTTCGTGATCAAAAAAGCTAACGTTTGGTCGGCAGAAGGAAGGGCCAAAGCAGAAGTAGAAAGTGAAGAGACATCCTACAAAAAGTACAATACGTGATACATTTTCAATCGCATATTTACATATTCTTATTACCTTGTGCACTTGTTCAGTGTACACATTGTATCGTCACCTCCAATATAAATGTTCTATAAAGGACTAATGAAGTGAATGTTTGTTTTCAGGAACATATTTGTGCTACTTTCTAATCTTATTTAGTATATGAAAACGAATCGATATTCCTCTTTGGTCAAGTTTGCTGAAAAGTGCACTTCTTTAATCGTTTAAAATTGTCCATGTTTTTCCGGACAACTAAGGGCGCTGTTGTCGTGATGTCATTTCAGGGAGACACTGTGCATATTAGGTGTTTTTACATTTTTACATACATTTCATGGGCCCTTAAACCAATTAGAACATCCCAATATTCCCGTTTAATATATGCATAAAGATAGACAAAATAAGCTGTAATTAAGAATATATATTTCTTAGGATGTCTAACACTTGTACTTTATTTAAACATTATCTAACATAGTACATCGTAGTATTGAATCTAATTTAGAGAATAGAGTGTCCGTTATTAAAAGAGTACCTGCAGGTGAAAAAAAACCTACTGGCATAACTGTGAAACATGTCAAAAACATTCGGTTACAAGTTCTTTTCGAAACTATATACACCGTGTGGGGGACATTGTGAACTTTGTGTGCATATACACGCAAATCTAATTTGCTTCGGTTGTTAAAGTGTATATTGTTCTAATTAGATTTGTTTTTCTCTTTCGACCTATGTGAGTATGGGAAGTGCAGCTCCACACAGGTACATCACATTGGCGATGGCATTAGGCCAACAAAAAGACTCCGGTTTCTGGTATGGAGCTTGCCCAAAAAGTGGTGCGGCGACGCGGCTTTTTTTTTTTTTTTACTTGACTTGTTTGCTTCAAATGTCGGCTGATGACTGCAAATGGTGCCCGACTAAACTTAGTGCAAATATATGGGAGTCCAGAGAGGCCAAATAAAACTTATTCTCGACCATAACCCAATCTAAAAAAACGTTAAAATTGTGCAGCAGTAGGATTCCAGTAAAACCAGTGATTTTGGCGGTTTTGAGACATCATCTTTCATTGAAAAAAAAAACTTTTTCATTTTGCCGACGCGCATGGCTACGGCGACGCGCGCGCATACCAGAAACCGGAGCCTTTTTTTTTTGCCTTAGCCAAAAACAATTAAATCAGTTCCCGACAGGTTTTACGAAAACATGATTACTCCAGAAATTAGTTCAGCCCAGGTTCAAGTTCTAGCACGGTCTTGTTTGTGGACAGGTAAATCACATCCGCTGAAAGATTTTGACGGAGTGTGTGTCTGCGACAATGACGTCACCTGCGGGGGTGAATGTCATCCCTGACGGATTGTACAACCCTTGAGCTACTGTTGCTTCGAATGCACCATTCGAATCGTAACGATGCACCTCGCTGTTCCCCACCTTACCGGAGTGAACAGCCACATAGATGCTCCCATCATCATCGCACAGGACACAAGTCGGTTTCGCTGGTTTCCCGTTCATTAAGGTCATTACGCTGAACGACTCATTGCCCTTATAGTCAACGCACAACAACCTCTTTTCCTCGTAGTTTGTGAAGATCAGCCGCTCTTTGTTGCTCATTGCCAAGTTATTGTCAACAACGTTGTTTGGTGCGCTTGCAATCAACGATCCGTTAAATTTCAGCACCTTGAGGACTCTTCTTCCTCTGTCAGCCACTGCGACTCGTTGTTTGTCTACAGCAATGCCACTGAGGTCACTCTCTGGTAGTACCACTGCATCGTAAACCGAAGGTGTAAAATCACGAACAAACTGAAGCTCCTTGTCAAAAACCTTCACTTTATCTTCATCCGTGACGAAAAGATGATTGTCAGAGTTCACTCCAACGCGCCAGGGATTTTTCAGCTGATTGCTTTTGGTTCCTTGATCAACAGATGTTTTGAACCGACCACTGGCGGTAAACAATGATAACCGTGTTTGTGCTATATCTGTTACTACCACGTCCCCGTTCGCGAAACATGCAATACCCGCAGCATGCGCAAATTGTCCGTCACCGGTGCCTTGTTTGCCGAACTTTCCCTTCAAGCACCAGTTCTCTTTGAGCAATATTGTCCCAAGATCCTTGTTACTAACGACATCTTGACATTTTACCCCGATGAACGCCATATCCACCTTTGCCGGTTCACACTCAGGCTCCTTTTGGAATTCCAAGTTGAGCATCACTTCCCGTTTGAGCTTCAAAAGCTCGAAATCATCGCATTGTCCCATTAAGTCATTTACGGCCGTGACTATCTGATCTGCGCGTTCCATCTGGCCACGGTTGTGTATGAGCGCCTTTTCGTACTCACTGTCTCTCTCCTGACCGATTTTCTCGACCTTTTCGGCGAGAAGCTTCGCTTTGATCCGGATTTTACTGATCTCTGCCTTTGCTTTTGCAGAAATATCACTATGTGCATGGGCCAAGTTCTTCCTCAGTCTATTTTGTGCACATTTGATCGAGACTTCATTCGAGGAAAGTTGTTCTTTGCTTTTCTTGAACTTTTGCAATTTGTCGTTGACACTCTTACGGAATGATTTCACGACGTCCTCGATCGCAGCGTATTTGTGATCTGCTGACCGGTGGTCTCCTGCAGCACACATTGAGCAAATCAATGTGTTACATTTTTCACAGTAAAAACAGATGGCATGATCACTATGTTTTCTACATTTTGGTGCCCTTTTTTCGGTAAATTCCATTGCTAAAACTCTTGATTTTCTGACGTCCTGCATTGGAATAAGTTGATGGTCGTTGGTGTGCTTCGGACGTGTATGTGCGTCTTGGCATTTCTTGCAGATGTTCACCTTGCAATCAAGGCATCTCCATAAGGCCTCAAGACCTTTTTCGCATTCTTTGCATCTTTCAGAAGTTCCAGATGCCTCACCAAGCTCCTGTTTTTGCTGGTTGAATTCATCAACGAGAGAACTTATAAAGAAAGAGTTAGAAAGATGCTGCAAACTTCCACCACGAACTTGTGTCTCTTTCCTGCAGACTGGACATGTGATCTTCTCTGTCTCTGACTTCTGTTTGCTCATCATCTCTTCCAGACAGTTCAGGCAGAAGCTGTGAAAACAGTCTAGTATCTTGGGATCCTTGAAACCACAGCAACAGACCGGACATTCCAGATGCCGCTGGCTGATGTTGTCCAACAGGGTTTTAGCTGCAGCCTCCGCCATCTTTCGCAATACAGCTAGTAAAAAAGAAGTAAATAAATTTGCGTATTAATCCAACAATAATTCACCTAAAAATGATTATTCCCTCTTTTTTTTTCAAATTTGAAAAAAAAAAATATATATATTTTACCAAACTGTTGTACATTTACCTGGAGGAAGGGAAAGTAAGTCAAATGTCGCTGTCTGTGGTTTCTCCTTTGCAGTTCTTCACTCAGACTAGTCGCCTCAATATTGAGCGGAAAAATCGGCACAAGAAAGAACGGTTTTCACAAATGCATCATCTCTCTTACACACTGTTGGACAATTTGATTTGCGCCCGTCATTGCTTATGTGCAGAAAATCTACGATTGTTCTGGAACGTTCCTGGTGCTTGAACTTTGATATGGGGAGTATACACTCCGACCATCAGCCGATGTAGATTTCACAATGAAATTGTTTACTGCACTAACTTGTACAGTTTCCAAGTGCACCTACTTGATCAATAGCAACAGTAGTAAGGATAGTGGGGGTGCTGGACTTAAATGAAAAATCTGTGGCAAGCCTGAACATGTCGCTCTCGTTTCTAAAAATCCCCAGCGTCAAATTTTTAGAAAAAAATCTGATCAAAATCCCCCGATCCCAATTTTTAGAAAAACTCTGATCAAAATCCCCCGATCCCAATTTTAAGAAAAAATCTGACGTCAGGTACCAGCCTACCTTTCCAATGATTCCCCTCCCAATATCTCAGTCTCAGCCACAAGCCAAAACCGGGGCCTATTATCTCTCTCACCAGTCGGTGAGTCTGATTGCTTATAAATCCAAAGTCTGACCTCTTAAAAAAAATGAAAAAAAAATATTATATTTTCTATAATAAAATGGAGAGTAATATGTTTAGACCGTCCGTCAAAGGATATTCTAAATGGAACAAAGCCACACTGCGTGATTACGTGCAGCGATATCATATACCGCACAATAAAAATGTTTATCTTACTCGTAAAGTCTACATCGATGTGATAAAAAAATACGAAAGTCAATTTAAAAACTTGAGGAAAAAGAGACCAGATGAACTCAAACAGATTGTAGACGATTACGATCTAGAATATAACCCGACGGGTTATAAAGGACGATTTTTGAAAAAAAAGATTTAATCTCGGCGATTCAAAACTCTAGGCAACCCGAGGATTTTCAAGAGGCTGAGTTTAGAGCGACGAGGAGATTTAGAAACAACTTTAGAAACTGGGAACTGATTCCTAGACTTTTTAACGACGATTTAGTCAAGTTTTTTGATACGCACAAAGATCAAATTGTAAATAAAATCAAGTCAGAATTGAGAAAGCTGAGAGGTTTAAAAAATGGAGCTCACAATCAAAATAAAATACGAAAAAACCAAACCAAACGATATCATCGAAACAATCGAAGCTATTCATTATAGCAAGCCGAAAGCCGTTTTAAATCAAAGTCAAATAAAACAGGTTTTAAAAGAAGACATAGACCAGCTATTTAAAAGGGATGAAAGGTATACGAATCAAGGATCGGGTTGGGTTTTAAAAAAGATAATGGCGTTGTATATCAACATCAACAGGTTTAACCCCGTGAGGGGAAGTTCTTACATAAACCTACCCGAACATCTTAAAATTAAAAAGGCGATGATAAACATCAAAAACAAAGACGACGAGTGTTTGAGATGGTGTTTGAGAGCTGCTCTTGGGTTGTATACGGATAGAGTAAAAAAAATAACATAAAAAACGATCCCAAATATAAAATCCATAAAGAAGAACCCGTTGTATACAGTAAAGACGACGGACTCAAATTTAAAGGCGTTGACTTTCCGACACCGGTCGATCAGATACCCAAGATAGAAAGACAAAATAATTTATCGATAAACGTATACGGTTATGAGGGTGAGATATATCCATTATACGTGTCTAAAAACTACAAGGCAAAAGAGATTGATCTGCTTTTGATTTCTAAAGGTGACAAGCATCACTATTGTTGGATACAATATTTTACAAGGTTGATGTACGACGTTACGAAACATAAATGTAAGAAATATTTTTGTCGAAGATGTCTATGTCATTTTACCAATAAAAAAAAATAGACAGACATATCGCCGATTGTAATGGTATAGATGCACATCCATCAAAGATTGTATTTCCGACAGGTAAACCAAAATACATAGACGGGCAACCAGGTGAAAGAGACGTACCGATATTAGAATTTAAAAACTATAGGAACAAACAAAAAGCACCATTTGTCATTTATGCTGACTTTGAATCCATACTACAAACAACAACAACAACACCCACACAAACACTAACATCTAAACCTACTCACTCAGACAAAGAGACAAACACAAAAAAGATTAACGTTCACAAAGCAAGCGGTTATTCGCTAGTTGTCGTCCGATGCGACGGTAAAAATGTGGATCAAGAGACTTATAGAGGTAAAGATGCTGCATCAAAGTTTGTAAATAAAATGTTAAAAATACAAAGCGACATAAATTGTCTATTTGAAAAAACCCAACCCATGAAATTTAACGAGCGAGCTAAAGAACATCATGATAAAACAAACGCGTGTTGGATTTGCGAGAAACCAATTTATCCCAATTACTTGAGCAACTGTCAGTGCCAGAAACCCAGAGAACCCAAGACGATAAAACAAATGAAAGAATATCAGTACAAAAATAGTAAGGGATTTATCGAGTCTAAATGTCTTGAATGTAAAAAGAAGATTAATAAATTTAGAAAGGTGAGAGATCACTGTCACGTCACTGGTAAATATAGGGGTGCCGCACACGCTTATTGTAACCTCAAAATACAAATTAAACCCGGTTGTACACCGAAACCGGTCTTTTTTCACAATTTACAAAATTACGACGCTCACTTGATCATGCAGGGAATGACAGAATACGATAGCCAAACAGAAATACAAGTGATCGCTAAAAATTCAGAAAAGTATATTTCGTTTTCGATAGGAAATCTTCGATTTTTAGACTCGTTTAGTTTTATGGCATCATCGTTGGATAAATTAGTGAAAGTTTGTCCAAAAGAGTCGTTTCAGCTACTCAAAAAGCATTTTAAACATCCTGACTTGCTATTACATAAAGGAACTTATCCCTACGAATATATGAACTCGTTTGATAAGTTTCAAGAGACCAGCCTACCACCCTTCGACAAGTTTTACAGCAGACTAAAAGACGAACATATATCACAACAAGACTACGACAGAGCTCAACGCGTGTGGAACGAGTTTAATATACAAAATCTAGGAGAATATCACGACTTGTACGTGACCACCGATACGTTATTACTTGCAGGCGTATTTGAAAACTTTAGAAGAATGTGCATAGAAAACTACTGGTTAGACAAACACTTATTTTTTGAAAAAGCAAAACGAGGAGGCATATCTAGCGTGGGTGGAATGAGACATCACAAAGCCAATAATCAATATCTCGATGACTACGATTCAAACAAGCCCTCGAGTTATATCGCTTATCTGGATGAGTCAATATCTACCGTACAGCGATTTTAAATGGACACCCTCGAAACCGTTTACCGAAGAAAGGATATTAACGCTTAAGAAAACGTCTAACACCGGCTACTTTTTTGAAGTAGACCTCGATTACCCGCACGATCTACACGTCAAGCATAACGATTATCCCCTAGCACCCGAAAATATTGTCGTACCCAAAGCTTGGATGTCTGATTATCAAAATGAGTTATTGGATACCGAACCTAATAGCGACGTAGAAAAATTAACGTGTACGCTTAATCCAAAACAAAAATACGTGTTGCACTACGTCACGTTGCAGTTATACCTCGATCTAGGTTTGAAACTTAAAAAGGTACATCGCGTGTTAAAATTTACTCAAGCGCCTTGGATGAAATCTTACATCGATAAAAACACGCAACTCCGAACAAAAGCAACCTCTGATTTTGAGAAAGACTTTTTTAAACTGATGAATAACAGCGTGTTTGGTAAGACGATGAAAAACGTTAGAAATCGAATAGACGGTTACCTACTGAGAGACAATAACGAGAGCGATCAAGAAAAATACAAAAAAATCATTAAAAAACCGAGCTATAAAACAACAACACCCTTTCCAGAATGTGACCTGTCGTTTGTCGAAAAGTACAAGACTAAAACCGTGTTAAACAAACCCATTTACTGCGGAGTGAGTATCTTAGATCTCTCAAAGACGCTGATGTACGATTTTTATTACAACCGATTAAAAGACAAGTACGGAGATCAAATCAGGTTGATGTATACGGATACAGACAGTCTGTTGATTGTCGTTTACACTGACGACGTATACAAAGACATGCGAACACACGGGCAACACTACGACTTTTCGAATTACAATGTGGATCACGAGTTATACGACTCAACTAATAAGAAAGTGATCGGTAAATTTAAAGACGAATTTGGAGGTAAGGTCATTCAGGAAGCCGTTTGCGTAAGACCTAAGATGTACTCGATTTTAGCAGATGACAACAACATCACTCTTAAAAAAGCCAAGGGGGGTCACAAAATCGGTCACTGACAAAAAATTAAAACACCGGCACTACTACGACTGCATCTTTAAAAATAAATCTAAAACAGAAACGATGACTCAAATTAGATCGGAAAAAACACATCCTTTACACCATATCGCTAGATAAATTGTCGTTGAGTCTGTTGGATACCAAGAGGTACATTTTACCGGATGGAATACACACGCTCGCTTATGGTCACCGTAATATAGATATTAATTAGGCGGTAATTGCGTATCCTCGGGTACGACTTGAAGCTCTTGTCTCACAAAACTCCTTTTTGGGCCGTCTTGCAGGTTATAAAGAGTAGGACCTGTCATGACTTTTTCACCGTTAATCATTTTAAATTGACTCGTTCTTTTGTCAACGTTGAAGATGTCTACGCTCCAAATGGGATCCGTGGCTCTTCTCGAGGTTCCACCCTCTTGCTCGCCCGGGTAATATAAATATCTAACCATTGCGTCTTGCGGTAATTGTTGCTCTTTTGTTTTA